GTCGAATCAAAGACAATTGCGGTGAAGCGCTTTTCACTAAAGCTCATTTATCTAACAGTCGCCATATTCGGTGGCACAAGCGCTACATATCGGCTTACCGCTTCTGGTGTTGCTAATAACCATGTTGCTGTTGGCATCGCTACGCTACATTAAACAAGTGATTTAAACACATATCTGTGCGTACAACATTTGTACATATCATTAGAGTCATGTCATAACGTTTCACTAAATTTTAAAAAATTACAGCACGGTCGCCTTCCCTCTGCATGTACAGCATAATATTGATACCCAAGGTACGTGGTATCTGCCAAATTGTTTTTGAATAGGCTCAAGATTGTTAATCTTATACGTACTGTAAGGCACCCACATCATGTACGCGTACTGTATACTTGGTCGCACAAATGCAATGTAGCCGAGCAGTATGGCAGATCATTTTTATGTTTATGATTAAGGAGACATTGTTTTAAAAAGGCACATGAACAAACTTTATCAATATAAAAACTCAAAGATAAGTTAGAAGTCAGTGTCGCATCGATGTATTTGTAGAAGTTTATTTGTTACAGGAACGAATACCTTAATACATAAGTATATGATAGGGGATCTTCTCCCGAGTCACTGGAAGGCACACACATTTGTTCGTGCTGAGGCACATACTGCATTTGTTACACCACTCAATGCATAGGTGACGTTGAGATTGTCGAATTTGTCAGTAGAGATAGTTTACTTAAACAAAACAGAGTCATCTGCAAACAATCTACTATGTTGAATAACTCCTTAATGTATAATAAAAAAGCAAAGGGCCTTACACGCGGCCCTCCGTTACGGCAAATGTCACCGGAAGACTGTCAAAGTATTGACCACATAGCTCATCCTATTGTTAACGGTTATCTAGATATGCGAAAATTCACGGAACAAATATTTGTGGTACACTTATTACGCTAAGTTTGAAAATAAGTTTACTGGGTAGAACTTTCTCGAAAGCTTTACAGAAATGCAAAAAGATGATATTTAGACTACCGTAGCTACTGACGGTTACTGGGACAGAATGAAAGATCGTGCATATTTGCGGTCGATAATCCTTTTTTAAGCAATTTTAATATTTACGAGATAGCGTTAAAGAGCTCGTTTCGCAGAAGTTTCGGCGTCGGTGTGGGCGTCATTAGTTTTGAGGGAAAAAATTCATCTTATGCGGGACCAGACAATGAAGAATGATTCAAATAAAATAAATATTAAAAAAACCTTGGTCAGAGTGGGAATTGATTTGATTTGATTTTGTGTGGTTTAACGTCTCAAAACCACCATATGATTATAAGAGACGCCGTAGTGGAGGGCTCCGGAAATTTTGACCACCTGGGGTTTTTTAACGTGCACCCGTCATAGTGGGAATCAAACCAGGGTAGACATCATGGCAAACGCATGTACTGTCACACGACCACGCGTCTGCTTGTCAATACGTTTAAAAACTAGTCATCTGCATACAATGCAGTAAAAGTGACACATGCGTTAAAAACACACGCGTCCTGTATGCATGCTACCCAATACAACATAAAATTTTGCAGTAATGATGCGTGGTACAAGCGCTCATTGCAATCGGACATCAAAACATGTGATAATAGTGCTTTAAAGCTGGTAACCCACTACAAGAGACACAAACGCTGCAGCGTCTGTTTTCCTAAAGCCACATAGTAGGTTCATAGCGAATTCGCAAAACCTTAACGCACGAAGTGCTCTAAGTCTGCTCTAGGAACAGAAAATCGATATCACATTAAACACTTAAACGCGAAGGTATATGGTCTCTAACGTGGGTATATGGTCACTTAACACGTGGGTATATGGTCACTCAATTTTTGTTTGTCAATATAACGTGCTCTTCCACGAAGCTGGTTATACAAGTAGCTAGGATGTGTCCGATAAGTTTTCAACATCGCGAGGTTAGCGAAAGAGGACGGCAATTTCCTTGTGTTCAGCAATCTACCTTTATAAAGGGGGGCCAGAATGGGGCTGTTCTCGAGTCACTCGGCCGCATGGAAGATAAAAATGAAGGTCGATACAAAATAACCAAACATTTTGCAACAGATAAAACATGTCACCTTAGGCATACGTTTAGCATATTGTCACGGGGTCATGACGAGAATAAAGAGAGCAGACAGTAGGTCCAAGAACAAGTGTTTATCTGGCTGAACGTGTGGCTGGTGAACGTAATATTTTGGCAAAATATTTAGGACCACATGATGCTTTCGATTTCAGGTTTAGCAGCACAAGAACTGAACCAGAATGAGAAATGAGAAACTCATTGGAATAAGGAAAGGCCGTTGCCACGTGCTTGAAAATTGATTTCCGAAGTGTTGAACAGACTTTATAAATGTAGATAAACTACCGGACAATGTCTCTATAATCCGTCACGTTAGTTCCAATGACTGATATTTGCAATGGCGTATTTTTTTTTGTTTGCTGATAAAATTCTTCAATATACAGGGGTTGTTTTCATTAATGTTTTAAGGAAGAGAGCTAGAGAAAGTTAGCAACACTGTTTTGTACATCATATATGAAATTAGCCTCTGCCTGTCTTTTTATATAGGTGCTTAACTTTCCCTTTCATGTGAATATTATGGTCAGTTATCGATTGTGTTCGCTTTTCAATCCATAACACTGGCGTCGTAACTAAGGTTGTGGGCACGGGCGTCCCACACGTTGTAAACTTCACTAACATAAGTGCAGCCTTAATTATTCCTCAATAAGCTACGTAGCACCCTGCTAGAATGACGGCTGTACAAATAATCATGTGTGCACGAGCATAATGTCGGAGAGGGACGTAGTAGATGTGAGTAGCATTAGGCGTGTCCGCTAATTTTGTATTGATTCCCGTTCCTGTCCACGCGGCACATATGCCTCATGAAAATTCAACAACTCGCTGAAGTTGCTTTACCAATGTTGACAAATAAGCTCGGAATTTCACTATACAAATACTAGACTTGCGTGTCGCCTTCAGTATCCGACTACCTTATCTTCCCTGCTATCCCGACTTAAGCTGTCCCTTTACCATCCCCCCACTTATTCTTGAAATCGTATGTGTCATTCTCGTTAGGTAGTGATTTCGTCATGTTAAACAGTTCAATACTTTTATGCCGCAGTTAAAATTAAAAAAGCAAGATTCACTAATTAGATGTACAATGCGTCTCCATGATAGGTGAATGCTGTCCTCTCAAATAATGAAATACATGGCTGAAAATATTCTTCTATTTTCCAGCCAACATGGTCTTCAACGTGGACGCTCTTGCGAGACAGAGCTTTTCGAACTAACTACCGAAATTCATAACAATTTACATGAACTTCATTGAACAACTTCGTTGAATGAACATGAACTTCATTCAAGTCTTCATTGACTTTGAAAAAGCCTTTGACAGGGTAGGTCACATGCGTTTCATACATAAAATGAAGACTTGTCAAATAGATACACAGGTAATTGATTTGGTTCAAGAGTATTTGCGTGATAGGCGTCAAGCGTTATTGATTGAGAGTGTTGTTTCCGACTTCAAACCTGTCATGTCCGGTGTACCCCAGGGTTCAGTTTTGGGACCAACCTTGTTCTTAATTTTCATTACCGATATTCACAATGGGTGTAAACTCAAGAATTCGTCTATTTGCTGACAATTTCGTTATTTATTGTGTTGTTTTTGGCCAAAACGATTGTGATGAACTGAATAAATGCTTGCGGAAACTTGGTGAGTGGTGTCAGAACTGGCAGATGAGTATTAATATTAAAAAACTGAACTTATGCGGTTTACTACTAGCAATCAATTAGTACTGCACGCCTACACAATACATAAGGAGACCATCGATGCAGTTGAGTGATTTAAATACTTGGGCGTTTATTTAACTTCGAATTTGACATGGAACACACATATTGACTGGGTATTGCGTAAATCAATCCGAACTCTTGATTTCCTTCGACGAACACTCCGCCAAGCTAATAAAGACACAAAAATTCTTGCCTACAACTCATTAGTCCGATCTCAACTTGAGTACTGTTCAATTATTTGGAGCCCTTACCAATCATACCTCATTAACAGGCTATAATCCTTGCAAAACAAAGCTGCCAGGTTCATTACCTTCGACTATACTCCCTATTCAAGTGCATCTAAAATCCAACAGAGATTGACCTTGCAACACTACAATGCAGACGAAAAGTGTCTCGTTTAATTTTCTTCCATAAGCTAAATCATACCTCTTCAACGTTTTCTACCTCATTGATAACGACGCCAAATGCAAACTTTCCACACTTTGATCATTCCTTTAAAGTTAGTCAACCATTCGCCCATATTGATCTACTTCGTTTATCCTATCTTCATTTGGCTATCCATTGGAATCAATTGCCGAGATTTATTGCAGAAGAAATAAAAGCTGACAAATATTCAGAAATGCTTGAACAGTTCTCATTGCCACACACTGAAATGCATTGAGAACATTAACCGCACTCTTACAAATCTGAGACATTGTAATTTCGTCGAATGGTATTCCAGTCCATAACATAAATAATCTAACGTATTAGTACGTATATGTCCGAATCACTGTATTGCTTTTTTGTAAAGACTTCTAATTTCTGTCTGCCTTGTCCACATTTGTACGTAAATTGTGAATGACCTTTGTTCCGCAAGTGCTCTTTGTAAACGTTTTTTTTCTTTTATTGATTTTTTCGTATTTCTGAATAAATTGCATGTATGTTGTTTAGCAGTTTATTTTTTCGTGAGTATTTTTGTTCTCTTGCGTATTTTCGATGAACTGCCCATTCATGTCTATATGCACTACTGATTGAACACCACTATTTTTCTTGTTTTTATGTGAAATGTTCTGTAAAAACCTATCTGCTCCCCCCCCCCCCCTATGTAATGCCTTCAGTCCTTTAGGGTAAATAAAATGAAAATGAAAAAATAAAACGCCATTGTTTGACTACAAATGGGAGTAGGCGACTGGCCATGGAGACTGCCCAGAGCAGACTTTACCTTTGCGAAGAAGGGCAGGACACAAATTGCGAGAAGCGCAGACAGCAACACCAGGCCAGTAAGGTAGGCACTGAACGCAGGACCCGAAGATGAAAGAGGATAGGCCGCGGCTGACGCCAGCGCCACCAAAGGCCAGGAGGCGAGTGAGACACAGCTGCAGCTGTCGCTGGTGCTGGCGAACTGCCGCTCCAGCTCCGAGTCGCGGAACGATAGGCTCACCGGATGAGCGTGGTCACGAAGCTCCCTGCGCAATGCTTGCGTCACGCAATCACTCGAGAACAAGGGTAAAAATAAAGCACTCACTGTAACAGCTCTGGTAAGTGTGGAACAGTGATTCACCTGTTCTTCAGCGATGAACTCATGAATAGCGTTTTGAGGGGTTGTTTGGTGAGACAATATTCCACGAATTCATAGTGTTCTTAGGAGTAGGCACAAGAGTAAAAGTAGACAGAACAAGCAGAGCCAGTGAGTGTCACTGAAGCAAGAAAAGTGGACAGGACTAGCAGAGCCTGTGAGCGTCACTGGAACGTAAATGCTTCAGTGACTCTCCTGTTCACGGGCCAGTGCGGGAATTCCAGCCTTGCAGCCTGGTAGGCCTCCATGGTGGAAAAGGAAACGTTTATTGGTGTTGCATTGACACCTTTTTTCTTCTCCTCTTCTACATGCCTCTTCACCATTTCACTTTTGCGTCCAATCGCTTTGCTACACTATACCCTCATATCCTATGCTGCACCCTCTCTTCCCACTACTCCCACTTTTCTTTCTTACCTCTTTCCTCGAACTAACTATGCCATACATGGCTTTGCCTGCGTGCTTCAAGGAAATACGTGAAATGACAGGACACAATGAAAGTATGCTCTCATCCTTCTTTCCACTACCACTTTTCCTCACCCTTTTTATATAAATTAGGAGGCAGAGCTCCACGTTTTTGGTTTATTTTTCTTGAAAATGGGCGGATGTTCATCGAAGTTTATTTCCAGATTGTGTCCAAATATGTCGAGTTCAGAGTTTGGCGTTGTTCTGAAAACTTAAAGCAATGTTAAATCGCTTCATATCTGAATACTGAAAGCACACGAAGCGCATTTGATTTTTTTCAAGAACGTTTGAAAGAACAATACATATACGCACAAGGAAAATACCTGAACAAAAACACCTTTATCTTGCGTGTACCAGCCTTAGCCCAAAGCTTATTGTAAAACACACCAGCGTACCGTGCGAGATAACTGTCAATGATCAAAGCTCGCGCTCCTTTTTATCGACGACTCTCACATTTGAAAACGCCCTTTCAGCACTAGCGCTAGAAACAGGAAGCGCCAGAAGACGCCGCGCGCAGCGAAAAAGCACTGGCCACTCGACATTGCGAAGTCTCCAAAACGATGGGGGTTCGAAAATGTTACGTATTTTACAGCACTGGTAGTTTGCCAAATCACTGAGGAGCTAGCTGAAGTCGTCATAACTTGAAGAATAGGTGCATAGGTTTCTAACGCGCAGAAAGGCGAGTTCCTCACATATGGGTTCACAATTTCAACACAGCACCAAAACGATTTTTGGTGTACGGGAATTCACCTCACAGGTTCCTCTAAGATGTATGTCTCTATATTATTGTGACAGCCTCGCAGTATTTGTTGTCAGCGGCGGCCGTTAAGGGGGCCCTATAATACTTTACACGACCTAATTAATTTACATTTTTTTTAGCTGGTTGCGTTCACAGAAGGCTTAAAGGGCCACTCACCAGGTTTGACAATTCTGAGCTGAGAAGAGCAATACGTAGATAAGGTGTTCATAATCACGTCTCTGAAAGTTTTCAATGCTATGCGCCGCGAAAATGGGTCCAATTTCAAGATGAACACTGTTCCCCCTTCCTCTTGCGGGCGCACGCCCAGAGAATGAGGGCATGACGTGCGCGTATGAATGGCCCTACGTACACAGCAAGGCAGTGACGTTGGTTCTCTACGTAGACGTCTATGCTCTTACGTTGCCAACAGTGGCACGTGAGTGAGTGAGTGAACAACTTTATTATGGTCCAGTGCAGACTCTGAGGTTGCCACACTCCAAGGCAAAATTACCCGAAAAAGGGGTAACGGAGCCCAATAGGAACGCGCAATGAACGGATGGACCGTTGAGGAGCAACCACAGAGCGAAGCGTGCGGCGCGAAACCACTTACTCTCCACTAGGGATGAACCAACCGGGCATTGCAGGCAGCGCGAAAAGCGTTGCCAAAGAAACCAGCCCTTCTTCTCCACAGAACACATGTCCTTCTCCTCTTCTGCTTGCTCAGTCTTTCCCCGTATTTTGCCGGCAGCGGTTGCGTAGCGTCGTGCTCGGGGTGCTCGACCACGGCCGCCAGAATTCGACAATGTAAGAATTACGACGTGGTGTTTGTGTGTACGCCTGGATGAGCGTGGGCTGCTGCTTTAGCGTTTCGCTGCACCCATGAAGTCTGGAGCAAGCCTCGACAGTTCAACACGCCGCGCTGTATACCTCTAGCTTCAAGATAGTCATGACCAACACACGACAGCAACAGTTGGGAAGGCCAAAATGGCGGCCGAGAAGAACAGGCCTATCGAATATATACTTCAGTACGACTCAGGGCAGAAAACAGCGCTGGATTCTAAGGCAAGTAGGTCATCATTCTTTATTCTACTGCACTTGTCGCGTGTGCAATACGGATCGCGCTTGCCGGCAAGGGGCTCGGTCGTGTTGTATGTCGCACGCACGAAATGCATCACAAAGGTCAGCTTTGGCGTCTGCAGTTCGCCTGTGCTTTGCGACCGCCTGGCAGTTGGCTGCCATTGCCGTCGGCCTCCCGTACGCTCGCTCAGCGAGTGCTCGCCTGTCTTCGCCGCCGCGATGAGCTCTGTGCTGACGATATTGGAGTGAGACCTCGTCGTTGTGTTGGGAGTCGTCGAAAACACGTTGCGGGTTCTCGTGAAGAGCTTGGTTGTAGTATGTCGCGCGCTGTAATTGCACCAGCACGGGCTAGCGGGGCTTTCGCTAGCGTCGCAGCTGACTGAAAATAGGCCGCCATTACAGTTGGCTTCACCGTCAGTCGGTCGCAAGCAGCTCGGCGCAGTCCGTTGGCCGCGGCGGCGGACTCCCGTTTGCACACTGCACTCGCTCGATTTTGTGGAAAACGGCCGCTAGTACCGTCGCTTTCTTCGGCGCTGGCTCCAAACCAGCTCGGCGCTGTTTGTGGCGGCGGCCAAGCGTACGCTCGCTTTCCTGTTCGAAGTTCGCTGGCGGCAGACACTCCGCGTGCAGTGCCGTGTTCGGTCTCGCGTTCGCTTGCTCGAGCTGAACGACGTCGCTCGCTTAGGACTCGCCGACTTGTTAGCGGCAGGGTGGTTCGCGGAGTTGTGACTGCAGCCGCCACTTCTAAACTATTGCGCTACGGGGATCGAAATGAGTCTCTGACGACGTGTGACATCACGGTGAAATTATTAGCATGTCATATCTCACATATGTTTTTATTTCCCCTTGCACGTATTTCTCATATGCATTTGTATTCATCCTCTGTCACGTGTGACTCACTATTTTACATACTTACTGTGCAGCCATGGGCGCGACCATGCTGAAGGCTGTGCGCTGGCGTCTGCGATGCTCGTCATCCATTTTTTTTTCGTCAGAGCAGCTTCAGAAGGACTGTGCGAGATGTGAAGGTAAAGTTATTTGTGTGTCATATTTTAACGCTTGTTTTTATAATAACCTGCACGTACTTGCCATGTGCAACGATGACATAATAGTTAGAGCATCCGGAGGCAGTGACCTGGGATGACGCAGTGACCTTGAGGGGTAATCAGTGGTCGGCGACTAAGAAACGGCACAGGCCTAAATAGACGAGTTCCTTTCGCACAGTTCGAGAACTGAGGGCACGTGCGAGTCAGCGTGGTCGTTGTTGAGAAGAGCAGGTAGGTTTAAGTGCTTCTATTTTCCGGTGGACGACTCGAGTAATTTCAAATGTTGGTGGCGACTAAAGAAGAGAGATCAGTCGATTTTCGCATGAGGACGTCACAGTGGTGTTTGGTAGCCGAGTGGACAACTTTGGAATACATCGGCTTTTGGCCTCTTTAGAACACCGGCATTCGCCGACAATTTTCTCTGAATATCAGTAGCTACAAATGAATATCAGTAGCTACGGATTATGCCACTCGGTATGCAATTACTCGAGCGCTACCGACCAGCTGCACAATGGACGTCGCAGATTTCCTACTCTATGACATCATCCTTCAGCATGGCGCTCCTCACCTACTCACGGCTACCATGGCCGCTGCTTCCTGTCCCGTGTGGTTGACGACCTCCTTGGATCCTGTGCTACGCGGCACAACTTTACGACTTCTTACCACCCTCAGACTAACCGACTTACTGAATGCCTTAACCGCACACTGACGGACTTGCTTGCTATGTATGTTTCTGACAATCACACCGATTGGGACACTGCCCTTCCGTTTGTAACCTTCGCCTACAATTTGTCGCGCCATGAAACTGCCGGCTACTCACAATTTTACCTTCTCTTTGGCCGAGATTCCTTACTACGTTTCGATACCCTGCTTGCGCATGACCTTCTATCCACCACTTCGTACACACAAGATGCCATCTCCTATGCTCTGATCGCACGTACAGTAGCCCGCGCCAGGTTCTGATCTTCCCAGAGAGCACAAAAGTCGCTTTACGACAGCCGAAATAAGGATGTCGATTTTTCTCCGGTATCTCCCGTGCTACTGTGGCAGCAATTCCGTCGTGTCGGCAGGTGCGAGAAACTTTTATCGCAGTACGTTGGGCCTTACCGAGTTCTGCGCCAAGCCACACCTGTCACCTATGAAATTTCTCCTACTACAAACCCCACTGTGACATCCAGAAGTGTCATTGTGCGTGTTTTTCGGCTGAAGTCTCATCACAGTGACCCACCCGTCTAATAAAAGCACGCACCGGGACGGTGCTTTGCCGCCCGAGGTAATGTCACGGGTATGGAAAGGCACCTCAGGCATGAGTGCACAAATGACGCAGAAGAGATGAACACGACGATGTTGTTGTGGGGCCATGTCTAGACTGCCCTGTTGTCCTACATCCTTGCACACTGTGTCATCCTTGCACACTGTGTTAGCAGTGTTAGCCGAACTGGCGTTAACTTATTAAATACTCCGCGTTACAATATGATTAAACTCTTCCGCCACGCTGACTCCGACATGTCCGAGAAGAAAAAGGTCCATCTTCTCATGTGAGGAGTTAAGCAGAATTTCTTAACC